GAGCCCCATTCAGGCTCTGACAGTGCAGAGCCTGCTTGGGATTCTCTCTCTTACTCTCTGCCCCTCCCCCCCCCACCCCACATGCACGTATGCTCTCTCTCAAAATAAAGAAGTATTTTTAAACATAAAAAAAAAAAAAACCTTTTGTTTTATTACTATTGTTATCCACTAGAAGGTGGTCATTCAATCATTTTAAAAGTCTGGTTTAGAAATGAATGAATTCATGGATTCATTTAAGAGCACCTAAGTATGCTTGAGACTTTTATTTTTATTCTTCAGAGATTCTAATGATGAACTGACCACCTACTGTTTCTTGCCATTGTTTTCTTAGTATCTCTCATAGAAGGGTAATCTATGTCCATATTTGTTATCTACAGTACCTCAGATAGGAAGTCCTGAGTGAAGGTTTGTGTTTCTGGTAAAGACCAGCAAAAGGATGAAAATGCTGCATATCTACTCCCTTGTATCAGGAGATGTGTGCACATACTCCCAGGGCTGGGACTCCAGACCCTTCACAGCAGCACATGCGGTAGAGGAAAAGGCATGGATTTTAAAATCACAGGCCTGAATTGGCCATTAAAATTGGTACTTTCTAACTTCCGAATTTTAAAGGGGCTAAAAGTTATTACTTCACAGGAATTTGCACAAATTAAAGTTGAATATTTGTGTAAAGCCATAATAAGGAACAAAATAAGAAATATAGACACTAGTTCATTTCTGTTTTCCCCAACCATCCCACTCTATTCCCTTCACAGATTCTGGTAATGGAATCTGGTTATATAATATCTTTTCCCCCATATGTGAATTATGTGAACTCTGGATTAATGAGAAGAGTGTCTAAATAAAAAAACATATATATTTTACAGACATGCCAGACTTAACTGAGGCTCTTTTGTTTTGCTTTCTACAAAGCACACACAAAATTTCCAAAGTTCATGTAAAGATTTCCAAGTAATCCTCTCCTCATATATATTTGAAGGCAGAATGAATATGCATATATATTTCATTTATTCATCTGTATTATATATATATATATATACACACACATATATACATATATATATATATATATATACACACATATATACATATATATATATAAAATCCATCTTTGCATCCCAATACTTAGCACAATGCCTGGTTTATTAAACACTAAATTGTGAGTAAGTAGATGAATTGCTCAAGTCTCAAGGTATTGGTTCTTCAAGACCCTCCCTTGTTGGGAGACAACTTAATAAATTATGACAATACAATTTTGAAAGAATTATAATAGCTCTATCAACAAAATGCAATGGAAACACAAAGGCAGAACTAATTTTGTCAAGGGTATATGAGACAGCCTGATGGAGGACTGGGTAATAACAGTAATAGTAATAAAAATAATGCTATCACGTATTGAGGGTTTACAGTTTGTCAAACAATATTCTAAGCACTGTGTATGTATATGAAATCATTTTATCTTCCCAAATAATTATTCGAGATAGATCCTATTTTACACATTAGGATAGTGAGGCAGGGATGTTAAGTAACTTACCTAGGTCATATGCTACAAGATGCAGAGGTAGGATTGAAACCCATACTTTAACCACTGTACAGAGGGAAAAAGGAGAGTGTCATTCCTTGCAGAGGGCATACCATATCCAATCCCAAAGGGATGAAGGAGACTGTCTACCAGGAGAATGTATTTAGTACAAACAGAATGCTGCAGACAGCAGGGGAGCAGAGGAGGCGTGTACTCCAGGGGTGGCCCAATGGCACAGGATGGCAATGAGAAGCAGCACCACACAGAGGGTAAAACTAACTCCCAAGGCTCTTTCAAACGTGAGCTGTGTAGTACTGGGCAAGTTAAGTAACCTCTATCTGTCTCGGCTTTCCTATCTGTAAAATGTCAACAGTAATAACTACCTCAGAAGGCTCTACAGAGGATTATGTTAGTATTTGAAAAGTGATTAAAATATTGCCTGGAGTATCGTGCCATAAAGCAGCTGCTACAACAAGCCAACAGATAAATACTAAAGGTAGGAGACTATGGAAAGAAGCTAATGTAATATGCCAAGTAAGAAATGATGAAGGCCTAACTCAACAGTATAATAGAGGGGATAAAAATGAAATCCAAATTAAGAAATTTCTCAGGAAGAAGCAAAAGCTGGGCATTTAAATTTTGATGGAGGCAGGGTAGTGGTGTATGGGAGTACATAGTTTGGGAGCCCCCAAGACCGATTAAAGTCAGTCCAGGTAAGAGACACGTGGTGTAGAGTGCAGGAAAGATCAAAGCGTGAAGGTTTCGGTTGTCCTTTCCAGGGGAATCACGGACGAGGACAACTTTTCCCTGCAACAACATGTGTCAATATGTTGTACTGCCAAGTAGGAAGGCTCACCGGAGCCTTGGAGTCTAGATTTTACTGGGGTTCAGTCACACAAACATGATCAATTGGCTAATCATTTGTCTCCAGCTCCTCTGGAGGTCGCAGGTCAGAGGGCGAGCTGATACCATGGCCCACAGCCGCCACCATAAATCACAGTTAGACTTTCCAGTGTGGCCTAGTCCCCTGGGTATAAAAAGACACTCTCAGGCGGGACATTCCATGGGCTTACAGATAACCTCCAAGGAGCTGAGGGCAAATGCCAAACTTACTTTTGATTCAGGTTCATTCTTTACCTTGAAGGTGTGGAGGAGGAGAAGAAACATATTAATGGTGACACCTTCAGTTGAGATAAGATATGCAAGTAGCAAATGACAACACAGATTTGGAAGGGAAAAATAACACGCTTTTGAGATTGCCTAGTATGAAACCAAGTGAAGTCACCAGAATATACTGAGGACTACGGAACAACGTTTGTGGAGGACTGCAAAGCTTGAGATGGCAGCATACTGAGGGAAGTTTAAAGTCCTACCATGAATGGGCTTACCTGAAGGGTAACATGTAGGCAACAAACAGAGCAAAACTTGAACACACTGTAAACAACTTTAAAGGATTCTCAAAGGGTGACTTGTTTAAAAAAAAAAAAAAAAAAAAAAAAAAAAAAGCTATTACAAAACAATAAAATTTAAATAAATATTAAATCTTCCCCACTATCTAAATCTGTTAGATAAGAAAGGAAACAAAAAATGTTGAGTAAATTTCTAGGCAGAGGACAAAAATGCACTCACCTTTCCCTGGAAGTAAACAGACTCTGCAAGCATGATACCATGTCCTCCAAATAAAAGTTAAAGAAACCAAAAATATTTGTTTTTATTTCCCCATGCCATCTTCCATGCTCAGACCATTTTCTAAACTCAGCCTTTATTTTGCCCATGGCAAATTTAGCACATTTGTGCAAAACTTAAATTACCATGAAAACCCAATAAAAAGACAGATGAAGCAGAAGGCACAGCTAATTAGATGGATTTGAGGTTCATTGCTCATTTTGTTTAGGGTCAAACAATAATTTATAAATCTGTCTGAGCACATTAAATAGAAAAATAACTCATTACAGGGTAGGAGTAGCCAGACTACTATAGTCTGAAAACAATATACCTTTCAAAATCTTGATTTTTTTTTTTAAATCACCCATATATGCCTAATTACACCCCAGGTGTGCAAATAGGGATTAGCAGTGGGAATTCTTGAACCAGAAAGACTGGACACAAATCCCTGCTCTGGTTTTATCAGGTGGGAAACGGGAAACCTCAGAGCTTTGTTCTAAGGATCACACAGAGTCAATATCATCTGGTACATAATAAACATACAGTAGGTGTGTGGTTATTTGGATATAGTACGTTAAGTAACTTTGCACACCAAAAACATAATGAATTTATTGCACTTCACTCTCGTTCTTTCCTCTTTCTGCTCTGTGCCAGAGGACACCCATTTAAAATCTACTTTTGAAATAAAAACCACAATTATAAACGACTTTTTCATATTCTAGCATTTGCAAGTTTCTAAAACAGCGTAATTTGTCCTAAAATGGTCTCAGAACAGCCTCAGACTTTACCATCAGTCACTGTGTAATCTGTTTTAAAAAACGCTTAAAGCTATCGTTTGTAAATGAGAAATTGTTATTGAGTTGATCCAACAAGAGATTAAGACAACAATGCAACCAAATTCCATTTGTTTACAGCCACAGAACTTTTTCTTTTCCCTGAGCAAAACGTATTGGGCTTTTGCCCCTGGCTTCAGAACTAGCAGATCTTCTTTCAGGCTAAACTGCCTGGTTCTTTTTGGTGAGGTAACTCCTGTGAAGTCCCAAGGCCTGGCTTGTCCTCAGGCCTTTGCTGGCACCCTCAGGCTCTGTTAAAGAAGACAAGGTACTCCTGCCTATTTCTATCAGGAATTTACGGAATTAGTAATTTATAAACTATGAACACCAGACTGCAAGCAGATTAGACACGGGGACTGTCTTGCGCTTTGTACACCACAGAGCACGGGATATACTATATAAGAACTCAATGTAAAGAAGCCATGGAGTAACACTCTGACCAAAGGTAAAACTCACTAAACACACAAATCAAACTTCTATCCATGAAATGTTTGTTTTCTGTAATACATTTAAAGAATCTGTGTGTGTGTGTATGTGTGTGCACGTGTGTTCAAACATAGCCAGACATGGACACGCGGAAGACATAGGATTATCAAATAAAGTCACTCTAGCTAAGACAGAGCAGCGCTAGCTGTAAATAGGTTGTTTCTTCTGAATTCAGAAACCAGACAAGTTTTCAGATTTTTCTGCTACAGAATTAATTTTGTCAAACTGGTGGGCATTCCTGTTTCAAAGATCAAAACAGTTGCTCAAGCAAGGGCATAACAATTTTTTTCTTACTATCACTACAAAGTTTTCTTTCTCCCCTTTCCATTTTCCTATGATTCCATCTATCTCTTCCTAGTTCTTTCCTTCTCTAGCCCCTGTAGGAAAAAGAAAGCCAGGTTTAGATTCTTTCACCCCTTATCCTCACAGCACCCCCCCCCCAAAAGGGTTTATTTTTGTTCTATCATAGGCATCAAGAGATATATTACACTAACCTTATTGTATTCCAGGCATCTCCAAGTTCTTTGGAATACTGTTTTTCAAAATGATCCAATACAACTTTGCAAATTTGTTTTGCAAGCTTCCTCTCTGATTTTGTGTTCAGCTATAACAAGAAAACGTTGCTGACACAATCTAATATTACAAATTTATTCAACTTCAAATTAACAGTTATTTTCTTAAGAACATGTTTTTTTTTTTTTTTTTTT